ACACCACACACACACACACACACACACACACACACACACACACACACACACACACGGTCCCTTTTACAATACACACACGTATATATTCTTTAAAAGAAAGTAGATATTCCTTATCACCCACATCCCCACTCTCCGTCTTTCTGTATGAGTGGCTCTGCTTCTTCATAAGCCAGCATCCAATGGTGTCTTTCTCTGGTGCTTCCATAGTGTTCCTTTCCTGCTTTCCTCACATAAACCCTTCAGGTTATACTTCCAGAAAGTATTCTAGGAGCTGGCCAGACAGCTGAGCAGCTGAAGGTATTTCCTACCAATCCTGAGGACCTCAGTTTGATTTCTGGGAACTACAAGGTGGAAGGAGAGGACCACCGCCCACTAGTTGTTCTTTGACCTCCACATGTGAGCCATGAGATACGCATGCACGCATGCGCACGTGTGCACACACAGTCACGTGCATGCACTTCAACAAACAAATAAATATATGAAAAATTTTGCAACAAAGTAGTCTAGAAACTCTTGCTATTTCATGCTACATTAGAATATAAACTTGGTAGCCAGGCAGTGGTGGCACATACCTTTAATCCCAGCACTTTGGAGGTAGAGGCAGGTGAATCTCTTGAGTTCCAGGCCAGGCTTGGTCTATGTAGTGAGTTGCAAGACAGCCAAAGTTACACAGAGAAGCCTTGTCTTGAAAAACCAAACCAAACCAAAAAAAGTGCCTGCATTTGAAAAGAAAGCCTGAATCTTTTTTCATTCTATTTTTAAAAACACTTATTTATTAATTTATGTAGGGGTATGTATATGAGGGAGTGAGCACATGCATGTGTCTGTGTGTGAGTTGTGTGTTGGTATGTGCTCTCTCTCCTGCATCATATGGGTTCTGTGGATTAAACTCGCACTTTACCTGTCAAGCCTTCCTGATAGCTGGGAATCCCGAGTCTTTAAGACCCCTTTTAACTCACGGGGCCTGAAAATGTCAGTAAGGAAATGAAAATGAATGCCTTTTCTTACATTTGTCAGACATACTTAACATTTTCATAAGATATTTGTCAATAGGAAAAAATAGAAACAACCTTGTAAACTTCTGTTCTTTGCCAAACTGATATTCCCAGCCTATTTAACAGGAACCTCCAGATCCCATGGTGCTTTGAAAACACGGCTTTCTATTGTTTTACACAGAAGTTTAAACCACAGTTGTAGAAATAACTATTTTGAACAAAAATCTCTCATTCTTTTATTAACAACTCAGCTTTCTATCTGACATGATGTACACTTGAGGTATTCTGTTAGTGTGAGGTGGAGTTTTCTCATGTTCTCTGAACACATTTTTTGTAGCCACAAATTGGTATTTATTTAAAAGAATCAAGGAGATGGAACCTCATTTTGTGAGACTAATTTAGATCTGCTATTAGATAATTCTTAAATATGTTCTCTGGTTTTATAAAAAATAAATTAGAAGGTACATGAGTGACATGTATGTTTATTTTAAAATTTGATATGTACCTGAGCCCTTTTGTCTTAGTAAAGAAGACTTGTGCTTTTCTTTAAACATTGACTTATTGTGTGCATCCATTGTAGGGCGTTCTGAGAACAGCCTGCAGTGTAGTTCAGGACTCAGTTCTCCCTCCACCACGTGGACCGCCCGTGGTGAACTCTGGCCGTCAGGCTTGACTACAGGCTCCTCTCTTTCCTCAGCCATCTTGCCAGCTTCACTCTGTGGCTCCTCCTGAGGTCACCTTTCATTGTTTCTGATTGTGAAATAAGAGATAAAAACTTTGCTTAACCTCCTCCTTCCTGTGTAGCAATTAGAATTCCAAGTGACAGTTAAGAGAACAAGTTTGTGATGTGAAACTTTCGGCTCTCTTGCCCGATGGTTTTATTCTGGAGGAAGAAGTTGAACTGAGTGCAGGAGAAGCTGGTCATGTTGCCATGCTGGTGTTTCTGCAGGTGTAGGAGGAGCGAAGGCCAGAGGCCTCAGCTATGGGAATGTGCTTAGACACCGAGGAAAGGCAGGCTGGCTGTGTGCATGTTTGCCGGTCACTAGCTGATGCCTAGGGAAGACAGGCACGCTCTGTTTGTCATCCTGGCTGGGTGTGCTTGCTGGAGTGATAACTGAGCAGCGGTATGCCTTCATTCTTGCTCCTGTAGGCTTTTAAGAGTCTGTGATCAGTGTTACTAAGTAGAAATCATGGGAAATTGTTTTTCTTTGCCTTCCACCTCTTCATGATCATACTGAATTATAGAAGATTTAGGTTAATCATCCTGCAGGAAGTAATAGGATTGGATTATGTTGATAAAGTGTGTAGTAAAGTAAAATGTTGGTCAGTATTTGAGCTGAAGAACCAGAATACTTAACTAAACATTATTTCATTAAGAGAAATTGAGTTCATTGAGTATTTGTTTAGTTGAGTATACACTAGGTATTTATTTCTATGCTGAGGCTCTGGAGGTGAATGAGACATGATTCTTGCCTTGAGAATATGACTTAATATGCAGATAGCTGTGTATAGAAGGAAAATGTGGTGAGTTAAATTCTTGAACTGTGTCTAGGTGTGCAGTAAGATTTTGTTTGAAGGTAACATGGGATAGCTTAGCCAAGAATTTGCTGAACAGTGAGGGGCAGTTGAGGCTGAGAGAAAACTTTTCAACAGCATGGTGGTATGCAACAGCATTGCCATACATTGAGAACAGGCTGAGATCTTGTGTAGAGAATAGGCTGTAGGGGCTAGAGACAGACTTGCTAGGGTGTAATTAGGAAACCTTTGTTCATTGTATAAGGCTGTGAACCCGATGCAACCCTGAAGAGCATTGCAAGGGGGGATAAACATTTACTCTACGTGTGAGAGAAGTCCCAGTGGCAGAGGTGAGGCCTCTGAAGCCGGGAGTCAGAAAAGCAGGAGGGTAGAGTGAGCGCATGGGACACCTAAATAATTAGGCACAGCAAAGCTGGTCTTCAGAGTGTTGTCTCTCTTGGAAGATGGGATTCATTGAAACAAATATGGATTAAAAACTGACTTCATGAGAGTTTTAAGTTTATAAAAAGCAACTTCTCTAAGAGTTGTTTCTATACTGTCAGATTGGTATAATGTACTTTAGGAAATTGTTCTGTCCTTTTTTATGGTAGGAACAAATTTTCCTCATTGGGGCACTCTTCCTTTGGAACTAACAAAGCAGTCCTTATGAACTACAGACAGAATTTGGGCATTGTGATGTTCAAGATGAGTCAAGATGAGGACCTGAATGTAGGCACTGAAGGGACTAATTTAGAAATATAGAAGAGCTGGAATCTTAGGCCTCAGATTTGGCAATGGAAACTTTAGTTTTATTTTTGAAAATGAGTATAATGAGATAGTTTAAAAAATCAGAAAATAACAGGATTAGGAGATTGTTTCATGAGATGTGGACAGAAAACCCCGACCTGTTTGCCAGACTACTAAATTGCTCAGTGTCTGAGAACACGGAGGGAGAAAGCTTTGCTTCCAGACACACACTGGTAACCCTGGGAATTGTGTCTGTGAGCACACAGTGGGGCTCTAGGACTGAGGGTCAAGGGCCTAGGGTCAGTTTTAATGTCATGTTTTCTGTGCTTCCTGAGGAGATGCGTTTGTGCAAGCACTTTAAATAGAGTCTCTGTTTCGGTCTGGTAACATTTTCATGATCTCTCTCTACATGTTCAGAAACCATTGGACTATGAAAAGGTCTGTGCAGTTGCATTTATGTTATCTACGGTATAGGGAAATAACAGCTGACAGAAGGAAAAGGCCTCTTGTGACTTCAGCCTTACAGGCCTAAATTTTGCCTTGAGGAAATCTTCCCATTAATTATCCTTCTTAGTGACTAAAAGGTATCCTTAAGTTCTGAGTTCCTTTTGCCAGCGCCATGCCCCTCCTTCTGTATCCTGTATCTAGAGGTCTCTTTCCTACTGTTTTGAAGAAAAAAATTTATAATTGTGAGCAGTCCTCAAATAAGGACTACACTTTGGAATTACTTAGAATCCTAAGTTATTTCCACAGAGTCTTTTTCTGAACTAATTTTATCTTATGCAAACTTGGTAGAATTTAAGCCTTTTTTGATGTTTTTGTTTTTAGCCTAATAAAGATGTTGTGGAACAAATGGAAAAATGGTAAGAGTTTAACTTTTCATCCTTTGGTGACTCATTCCTACCAAATTTGTGGTGACAGAATTGTTAGCTAATAATAATAATAATCATAGTAATCATCTAGATTCTTAAAGTACTATTTGTATTTGTATTTTGTGGTAGAAAAGAATGTTCTGGGGTGTGGATTAGCCGGGTTCCCTTATGGTATCTTGTGGGTGTCATGTGATATTGATTGACTTGTTCAGACTGTTAGTCCATACATTCCCTGAGCACATTTTCCTTGTTAGTGAAGAGTTCACCTTAACACCATAATTGAAATCCTCAGAAATCTTTCTAGAATTAAAAGTTCATAATGAATAAGGAATAGAGGAGTTGATCTATGTAAAATACTTAGGAATGATATTTACCTTGACCTAATAGTTCATATGTATGTTTTAAATTTATAATTTCAGCATTCAAGAAAAAGATGAGAAGTTGAAGACGGTAGAAGAATTACTTGAAACTGGACTCATTCAGGTGGCCACCAAGGAGGAGGAGCTGAATGTGAGACATTTTCTGGATTGTTTTCCTTGGCTTGATTCAGTCAGTGCAAAGGGGTTTCATTGTAATTGTTTTCCCGAAGCTCTGTACTACATGTTACAAGTTCATAAAAAATGTCATTGAATTTACACGATATTTCTCTAGAAATTAAAAATGCGTAGATGATGGTAGTGTTCACCTCAGTTAGGTAGATATTGTCACTGCGGTTTGTAGTGTGTATGTTCAGATTCTAACCAGCGGTCCCTAGCAGACATCCTAAGTCTGTGAGTGGCTTTGGGATGACTTGAGAACAAGTACAGCTGCTCTGTGCTCACTGGTAGCCCTTACTACATTAACGTGGACCTTTGGGGAAGAAAATTAGAAGGTGTAATTGAATTTATGACTGCCGTCCGTGGCTTAACTGAAAAGTGGCACACTGTGTCTTTGAGGATGCCAGCATTTCAGTTGAAATGTATATGGTGATAATTGAATTACGAAATGGTTGACTAACTATGAAGGTTATAGGGAAAAGGGTAGAAGAGGAAGGATGACAGAGTGGGATAGATTATTTGGAACTAGTTAATGGTTCAAGAATAAAAAAGGATATTGTGCTTATGGTTTTGAAAACAGGCCATAAGAACGGAAAACTCAACCCTGACGAAAGAAGTTCAAGAGCTAAAGGCCAAGCAGAGTGATCAGGTAATGCACACTGTTGACCCCCACACTCCCCTTCAGTAGGCACAGCATGAAATGTAACACCCAGGTTGTTTTTTTCCAAGGCTGAAATTTTCAATTAAACTTTTCATCAATGAATCATTAGTGACTGGAGTAGTAATAGAAGATGTAATTTATTGAAAACTGTCTGCATGCTAGGTAGGCATTCTGTGAACTACTCCAAATAGGATTTCCTCTTTTTCTTCTCTTTAGTTATAGTTGCTTATATTGTATGTGATTGAGTATTTTGCTTGTATGTTTGCCCGTGCACCACATGCCGGCAGTGCCCACAGAGGTCTGAAGAGGGCACCGAATTGCATGTGTCTGGAGTCTGAAGGTGATTGTGAGTTGCTGTGTGGGTGCTGGGTGGAGAAGCTGGGTCCTCTGCATGAGTAACACGTGCTTTCTGCTTTTCAGCCGTCTCTCCAGCCCAACTTTCTTTATCTAAAAACTTTATTATTGTTGTTGTTGCTGTGTGTAGGATATATGAAGGTACCTATGTCACAGGACCACTTAGGACGTGCTCGCTCTCTCCTTCCACATTTGTGTACATCATCATCAGGCTTGCATGATGAGCACTTATCCTCTGAGCCGTCTTGCTGGTTATTTTCTCTTTAATACAACAATAAAGGTTTTGACTACACACAGAACTCGAGTCTCTAATAATGGCAACAAAGGCTACATGAAATGAGGCCATTTCTTAGGTGTAATTTCTCCCCTGGTTAGAATTACTAATTAACTAATTAAGCATTTATCTAATGATTATTCTTCTAGGCTGTACTTAGTAGTCTCAAAATGATACTCCTTTTCACCATTATGACGTTAAGCAAATCTAGAAAGAATTTCTAGGTTTCCTTTTTTCCTTTTGGTTTTTATTTGTATAATAACAAATTTAGGGATTATGTATTTCTATTTCTGACTCACAATTTTAAAAATTACTAAATTATGCACCTTTCTATTTCTAGGTTTCTTTTGTGTCTCTAATTGAAGAACTTAGGAAAGCGTAAGTGATAACATTGTTAAAATTGGTCTTTTTCTTTTGACTTGTTTTCTTAATGCTATTAAATGGAGTTTTGTTTATTTGGGAGAGTTGACATACATTATTACATCTATCTCTCTATCTCTGTCTCTGTCTCTCTCTCTCTAAAAATCAGTCAGTCAGTCATCTAATCTATCTGTCTAGAATTGACATACATTACTCCCCTGCTTCCCCCTCTTCTGCCTCCTCCTCACCCTCTCTCCCTTTCTAGTCCAGTCTGGCCAGGGTTCACTACATACTTGGGATGGTGTCTTCATTCCTGACTCTCCTCCCTCTCACCTTCCTGAGTATACCACCACACCTGGCTCATTTGAATCTTCATTCTAGAATTTCTCATCTGTGGACTAAGGGAGATTAGCTGTGCTACCCAAATTCAAAGATTTTTATCTTTTTTAAAATTCATTTTCATAATTGATTCTTTTTTTTGTAACATCAATTGTTAATTTTCCGTGTTTAGCAGAAGATATTACAGATGAGTTTATGTTGCACAGAGAGATAGTTCCATGCATGTATTCATTCCCCTTGCGAGGTACCTATCAGTTTTAATGCCATATTGTGTAGTAAGCTCAAAATCCTATAATCCAGTGTCACTGAATGGAATTTGATTCTCCCTGGTGTTGGTATTTTTCATGGTACAAACAGATTTTCTGTGTATTTTTGAAGTAAACCACCAACTTCTTGTATGCATAGATCTTAGTAGTTGCTGATTAAATTCTTACTGAAAAGGAGCTTTAGGTATTTCCTCTACTTTTTGTCTGTGAAGTCGAGTTACTGTTTCACTTTAAATGAAGGAGTTGGCTTGGAAAGGCTTCTCATGATGTGGTGCTGTTTTTATACTTAGTTGGTGGATTGCAGTGATTTCTAGTCAGGTTAATACTTGATTTGTTTGTTTAAGGATCCATGAGAAAGATGGACAGATCAAGTCTGTGGAAGAGCTTCTAGAAGTTGAACTTCTCAAAGTTGCTAATAAGGAGAAAACTGTTCAGGTATTAGGAGAGAGAGCAGTGTCTGGCCTTTCTGTTGATCACGTCGAGTTAATACCATTTGATTTCATGTGTTTGTATGTTGCATTTCTTTGTCAACTTCAGTGTGTTTTCCATTGTCCAATCTTGTCTGTTTTATCATTGTCAAGGCTTTGAAACAGGAAATAGAGGTTCTAAAAGAAGAAATAGGAAATGCCCAGCTTGAAAAGGCTCACCAGGTAAAACTCCCAGAGCCACAGCATGACAGACTTATTAGTGTTTTTGTTATTTGTGAGCTACTTTTAAATTTTGTACCTCTTGCTATTCAGAAAAAGTCCTTTAATATTTTGCTACAAGTATATTTATTTATATTGCTTTTTAAAACCTTTTACTAAGGCCCTCTTCTAGAACAAATTCTCTGTATTAATGTTTCATTTTAGTCAGTTTAAGACATGCAAATACAGAACACTCTGATAAAACAAACTACATGGACTAGAATGTGTATTCATCCTCTGAATGTAGAAGAAAAAAAAAAGGAATTTCCTTGGAGATTCTAGAAGTAGACATTTTTACTTGGTAGATGGTTTTATGAAATTGAATCTGTTAAGTCATCATTAAAATGGTGGGATTGTATGGACGAGATGATTCGTTCATCCATCGTCAAAGCCCTGTGCTAGGATTGGAGATAGTTTTTGTGACTGAGACTTGAGGAGAGGCTCCTTCTGAAGAGCTGACGTCTGAATCAAGGCTGAGAGGGCATGGGATAAAACATTAGATTGCCTGTGACTGACTAGAAAAGACACCAGGGCTGGGGAGACGGCTCAGTGGGTTTCATGCTGCTTGTGCCAGCGCGAGGACCGGAGCTGAGGTGTCCAGCTCCTGTGCCCAGGCCCCGCATGGCAGCCCACAGCTGTAACCTGAGCACTGGAGGAGAGACAGGAAGGTCCCGGGGCCTCACTGGCCAGTTAGGTGAACCCGATCAGAGAGCGTCAGTTCAGTTAGGAGACTGAGAGCACGGTGTGAAGAGCACTACAGGAGTCTAGATTCACAGTGTTGACCTGGCCTCTTTGCACATTTGCATGTGCATGTGCACACATTCAGCACACAGAAAATCATAAATAAATACATCGATAAATAAACAGGAAATTAAGGAAGTCACAGAGCCCTGTAGAGCATGTTCTTGAAGACTGGGCTGGAGAATTCTGGTACTGTATGGTGATGTGTCGCATGGTAAAGACTTGTGTTCTCAACTGTAACAATACCTCCTTATGCAAGTGTGCTCTTTATAGTCACCTTCCTTATTTGACCCCGTCCTTCCTGTTAGGGTTTTTACTGTCCCTTTCCCTGGAACAAGAGGAGTGAAATGTGAACACATCTTAATTTGGCATGGTGGACAATTTAGCTTGGACTTTGATATTTTGAAGTGTATACATTGTAAAGATTATAACATAAAGCTTGATCAGGGGAAGGAAAGGATTTTGAATTGCTTTTTCTGTCCTTTGTGTTTTAGTTGTCTGTCTCTTCTCAAGTTCAGGAGCTTCAGAACTTGTAAGTAATGTTTGTCTCATTTTCCTATAAATACCTCTTTCCTACAAGTTAAATTTAATGAAAAATATAGCTTTTTTATCATTTGACTTCAATGTTCTGGAAAATACTAAGGTTTTTCAAAACACTTTAGGGTTGTTTTTTTTTTTTTAAAAGTATTTTTGGTTCTCATATTTTAACAGCTACTAGTTTTTTGTGGGAAGGAGGTGGTAGTGTGAGGACTCTTATTCTTTTGAGTCATAATCAGAGTATACCTTAAATGGAGGTGTTGCTTCTTGCATAGTTTAATGGCCAGGTGAAAGTGGCTGTGTAATTGACACCTTCACCAGTTTGCTAAGCTGTGAATTTACTGATGCTGACTAGATGGGAGGACGCAGGGTAAGAGCAGAGCTACATTAATGTATCCACCTTGTTTATTCAGTGATAACATGACTTTCTTTCATTATCTTACTCTTTTCAATTTGGTGTCTCAAATCTTGTATTCGTTTATATTAATGGTTTATAAAAATACTTATTTCTACAATAGTCCAGTGGATCTGGACTACAAAAACACTAACAGTCTTCAGTACTTTTGCTTTTTAAGATCATGAAAAATTTTTATTTCTCTCTCTTACTGACTTGCCAGGTTAAGAGGCAAGGAAGAACAGGTGAACACCATGAAGGCTGCTTTGGAAGCCAAGGACAAAGACCTGACGGATAGAGGGAAGTGGATACAGGTGAGGAGTTAAAAACATAAGGGACAAGAACCCTTTGCTGATATTTGAGTATCAATTCCCATCTATTCTTTTTAAGGATCTTCAAGAAGAAAACGAATCTCTGAAGGCTCATGTTCACGAGGCAGCACAGCCCGATTCTCCACAGGTACAGTATAAACCCGACAGTGTGCCCTTCTGTGTAAGGCTCTAGAGATAAGAAGACACACACTCTCAGTTTCTGGGGTGCGTCATAGTTTACTTACTGCTCTCCAGCCAAGGCTGGTTGCCCACGTGTCCAGCTAGTAGCCTCAGTGCTTCTTCCCCTTCCTTTGTCCAACATGTGCTCTAGGCTTGTGCTTCATTGTGCTCCTTTGGCATACTACTCTGTGATCCTTTAGAAAACATCCCCCCCTTTCTTTTTGGTGTTTCGAGACAAGGTTTCTCTGTGTAGCCCTGGTGGTCTTGGATCTCACTCTGGAGACCAGGCTGGCCTCAAACTGAGAGATCCTCCTGCCTCTGCCTCCCAAGTGCTGGGATTAAAGGCATGCACTGCCACAGCCTGGCTTAGAAAAATCCCTTTTAGAAGGTAAGTATGATGAGGAAAACTCATTCTCTCCAGGCTTGTTGGCTCATACCTGTGATCCCATCTCTTGGACGGCTGAAGTAAAAGGATCACTGTGGGCTTGAGACCAGCCTGGGTTACATAGTGAGCTCCTGTTCCAAAAAATGATGGACAGGGAAAAAAAGCATTTCTTTTCTTTTCTTTTTAATAAACAATCTAACCTTAAATTTAACACATGGTTAATTTTATTTTATACTTGGGTGGTTTGGCATGTATAATGTAATAACTGATTTGTTTTGATATTAACATTAAAAAGGTGAATCTGTTTCTTAGGTATGTTCGACAGCACGATTTGAAGAACTTGAAAATATGTAAGTATGCTTTTAGCTAGTATTTTGATGATGTGTGCCAGAATGTACATAAAATTAAATATTTAGAGGCCTCTGAAAGGCCATTGATTTCATAGTCAAGTATTAATTATAGTCTAGAGACAGAAATTTCTGCCTGATGACTGGTAAAGAGATCTTTTAAATGTTTTAGAATGTCTAAAGACGTGCCCATTTTCTCCAATATTATTTCTGCAAATTTAGATTTTTTTTTCTCACAAACAATCATTCAATTATTATAAAGAGGAAATCAATTGATTTTCATTTAAATCAGGAGGTAATCTTAGCCATAACAGATTATGGGCATATCATAATTGTACTTCCTTATAGGAAGCATGGATCTTGCCAGGCTAGTTCCATGCTGAATAATAAAAATATCACCACCAGTTAGATTATAGAAATCTGCCATCTGCCTTCTTAGGTGTTAATACCAGAACAGTATTTTTTTTTTATCCTGCAAAAGTCATTATTTTTTGAGATGGAGTCTCACTTTGTTGCTCAGGCTGGCTTGAAACTTACGAGGTAGATCAGGCTGGCCTCCAACTTGCCATGACTTTCTTTTCCCAACTGCTGGGAATATAGGTATGAGCCACCATGCCCAGCAAAAGTTGATTTTCTTTCTCTGTCTCTGTTTCTGTCCCCCCCCCCCAACCCCCCTCTCCTTCTTTTCTTTCTCTTTTTGGTTTTTTGAGACAGTTTCTCTTTGTAGCTTAGAGATACATTTATGGTGTCTTGCAGTAGGTATATAATCACTAAAGTATATAGTTTTAGGCTTATTTCTATCCTTAATTTTTCTTGTCCTGTCCTGTCATTTTCTTTTTTAAGACAGGGTCTTACTCTGTAGCCTGGCTGGCCTGGGACTCAGAATATCTCCCTGCCTCTGCCTCCTGAGTGCTGGGACTAAAGGTGTGTGCACTGTACCTAGCTCTTGACCTTTTCTTTAGTAAATTAATAGACTTTATTTTGGGGGAATCACTATCAGATCTACAGAAAAAGTTGAGAAGTAGAGTTTCTGTATCACTACTCCCTTTTCTCCTGTTACTAACACATCAGTGTTGATGCACGACATCACCACAGATGAACAAATAGCTCTACAGTTGTTAGCAGCCGAACACCATGTTTTCCATTAGGTCTTTCTTAGCAAATGTTTAAGAACAATGCATCCCACAGTGTCATGCAGGATACTTTCACTCTCCTACTGAAATCTCTCTTGTTAACCTTTTCACCCCTCTCTATTCACTCTCCAACCAGTATCTCCCTGAAAGCCTGGCGGCCACTGACTGTCTTCCTCTATGTTTTACCTTTTCCAGAGTGTCCTAGTTGGAGCCATACAGTACACAGCCTTTTTAGATCGACTTCACTTAGGGGTATACATCTAAGACTTGCCCTGTCTTTCCATATATATATTTTTTTCTTTCTCTTGCTCACTTTCTTTTTATCCATCCCTCTCCTCTTCTTGTTCTCCACCTTTTTTTTTTTTTCTTTTGTTCCCATTCAGGAAACGGTTTTCTCTGTAGTCCAGGCAGGCCTTGAATACACTGTACTCTTCCTACCTCAGCTTCTTGAATGCATGCATATACCAATATGTCTGGCTTTCTCTCTATTTTTTTTCAGTTTACTCTTTATGTATGCTATTGTATTACTTTTTATAAGTATCTATAAATGTCTTGACACTTTCTAAGTTAAGGAAGGATAAAAGTAGTGTTCTGCTCAGCAAATACTCGATGAGCCTTGTATGTCTTCAGACACTGGGGATGCCAAAATAAATAAAGAGTAAGTGCTAGCCCTGAGAATACAGACCGACAAATCATTTAGTAGTGTTAGGTGTTGAGAGAACACTGTTGCTTAGAATGGCAAGGGCAGTTGGAATTGGCTTGGGCTAGATTGAAGCCTTATGTGTGCAAGGGAAGGCTCACTGGGTGAAGGTGCTTGCTCCCAAGCCCAGTT